TAGATGTAAAACTTCCGGAAAAGACCTTAAATCAACTAAAGCCCTTTTTTCCGCCGACAAGGAACTCGAGCTATGCCCTTGTTTGTGGAGGGGTCATGTATAAACAAATGCACTACGCAGATGAGCGTGCGGAGCACCTTTACTTGATTTGAAACGAAGAAAATGAAAGTTAATGCTACACTGTACGGTGCATTATTCAGTAACGATGGTGCTAATGTGGATATAGCCAAAGGCCATATACGAAGACTATATAGTCTTTGGATATTGCTCAGTACTTGACTACAATGTATATTGTGTATGTGCGTGCGGGCGTACACATTGGTAAATATATATGCATATGTACACATGCACGTATACACACACACTCATGAAAGGAAGCACAAGTCTCCTTTACTCATGAAGATCACACATGTCCCTCCCTCACTCACGAAAAGAAGTGCATGTCTCCCTCACTCATAAAAGGAACAGATATCGCAACAGTGTCCTCCAGATCCTTCCCCTCCTGACATTCTTGCTGATACTTACATGGCGATACCATATCCTCCAACAATTGTCCTCCTTAGGTTTACGTGGAAACATGGGCGTTTTCATTAAATCCTTCCTTTCTAAACGTACTTTCCAGGTCAAAATTGCCTCTTCCACGTCATCATCCTTTCCTCAATTCGAAGGCGTCCCACAAGGAAGTGTGCTTAGTACCACTATTCCTTCTTGCTGTAAATGACATAGTCTCAGTCCTACCACCAGGAGCCCAGGCATCACTATATGTTGATGACTTAACCATCTATGCATCTGGCACATCCACATAATCTGTCAATTCCTACAGTCTGCAATAACATCAGGAACTTCTTGGGCCACCAACCATAGCTTTCGCTTCTATACCTCCAAATCTTTCCCCATCCTTTTCTCTCGCTCACGTACGGTCCCCAACCCCCCATTCTTCTTATATAACGCTCCACTCCAATACCGTTCTTCTGGCAAATTCCTAGTTGTTATATTTGATTCCAAATTGTCCTGGCGAGACCATATCTTGTACATCAAAGAAAAAGCTCAACGCCGCCTCCGAATCTTACAAACTCTTTCACACATCTGGGGCTCAGATCGCAAAACTCTCCTCCATCTTCATGTTACCTTCATTCTCTCCACTCTAGATTATGGATGCATATCTACTCCTCTGCCTCAACTCTATTCTTGCTCACCTTGATACAATCCACCACAGCGGTCTCCGCTTAGCCCTAGGCGCCTTCCGCTCCTCTCCAGTTGAGAGCCTATATACTGAATCTGGCATGCCGTCCCTCTCTCGACGTCGAGCTTTTCTCTCTCTACGATGCTATGCTCGATTTCACCAATTTTCCCTTACCAAACTAACTATTCCACAATCCTTACTTCATACCTTTACCTCTTCACGTTTACCAACTCTTCCCCCGTACGCATGGATATTCTCCTCCCATTCCCCCCTTTCCTCACCTCCGACTTCTCCCACTTTCTGTCCATTCCATTCCTCCATGACTTATACCTAACCCCTATATTTGCTCCTCAGTTTTCCCTGACCCACCAAATCAGATATTCCCCCCCTCTATCCTCACTCATTTCCTTGACCTTGTCTCCATTCATTCCTCCAGCATTCATGTTTACACTGACGGTTCCAAATCCATCTCAGGAGCTGGATTCGCAGTAACATTCCCAAATTGCACTTTCAAATACACCCTCCCTCCTGAATCTAGTGTCCTAACTACAGAACTATATGCACTCCTTTTTGCCTTAAGACGCATCCCCTTCTTCCTCTTTTACTATTTTTACTGACTCCCGTAACTCTTTAGCCCTCATAAAGTCTATGCACTCGACCAATCCCCTTGTCTGTAAGATCCAGAACTGGTTGTTCTATATATCCACACGTCACAAATCTGTCAGATTTTACTGGGTGCCCAGCCATGTTGGAATCCCTGGCAATGAACAGGCAGATATTCTTGCGCGCTATGCCGCAATGTCCACATCAACTCAACTACGCTTCTCACATATTCCAGCTACGGATTATTACCCCCACTTTAAAACCTTCTTGTATACCCGATGGCAATCTTTTTGGTCAAGACTCTACAACAATAAATTACATACTGTAAAACCATCAATCTCCTCTTGGTCAGCTCCATTTCACAAAAACAGACGTTGGGAGACGGCCCTTGCACGCTTACATATTGGCCACACTCGCTTATCTAATGTCACGCTCAGACCCGCCCCTATGTCCTCTATGTAACGTCCCTCTTTCAGTCCCACACATTCTCTTGTCCTGTCCACGCTTTAATACAGCACGTACCTCTGCTTTTCCACACCTATCCTCCCTTCACCGACCTCCCAACATATCAGACATCCTTACAGAATCCCACAGTTTCTGCCTTGACAACCTGTTCTCCTTCCACAGACGCATAAATATCCTTCACTTGATCTAACTCCCTTACCTAAACCACAATAACCTTTTCCCTCATCTCCAACCTTTCAACACTACTCTAGATAGTTGACACATAGCAACTATCACCTGACATCCCCCTTTACTATACCTTCCTATAGTGCTATATGACCTTAGATGTCTAGCACAGTTATTTTACCCATTAACCATCTTCCTGATACTTCACCGCCTTCCCCTGTTCCCCATCTGTTTCCCAGGATTATATTCCTCTTACTTCTCCAGCACTCATCTCATATCCTTAGTATACCCGTCGATTGTTTTATAATGGCTCTTCTGCATTTTTTTTATATATTGTTCCTTTTCCTCCCTCAGACATGGATCACCCTGCGCCATTAATCTCTTTGTTTTACTTTTCACTACCATACTTCCCTACACCATTGTATAACCTTTGACATCTAACACATCTAATCGTTCTCAGTCTTACCCCTTCCACCATAATGCTTTACCATAGTGCTATATGACCTTTGTTATCGAGCACATTTATGTTTTAACAATTAAGACAAAATAAACATGAAAAGTGAATGAAATATACAAAAAGAATAATAATCTGATGAAAAGCATGAAGTTAATCAAAATAAATAAGTTCTATTTCTAGGTGAATAAATTTGAAACGTCAGGTAAAATGCAAAGACAGATTTACAAAAAATCAGTCTTACTCCTTTGGAAGTCAACTGAACTCACCACTGTCTACACATTTTCATCGAGATATGGATCTTAGAAGGCACTATAAACTAACCTGTCTATTTCCATTAGCTATTAATAAAATATATCTAACACAAAATTGTCAAAGCATTGGTTAAATTTGATAAACATGAAGTATTCATAAAAAAAGGCTTCATTTTCTTCTTACTCTAAACTTTGTTCCAGAATAGCATTCCCGTTACTGACTTCCACTTTTATTTCCAACAACATTATACACAAACTCACTTCAAACGAGATTAATGGGATGACGTACCAAATGAACAAATGTCTTCTTCCTCTAAGAAGGCTGTGTTCCTGCAGCCTAAGGTGTGGAGAAGGAGGGCTACTTAGCTGTGCCATAGGGTGGGCAGGTGGGGTTCCAAAGCGCCACCCGCAGTGCAGGTGAAGGGTGTAATGATGCTAGCAGTAGCAGAGTACTCTCACCACAACACATGTGAGACAGGGCAAAGGGCACGAGGACCGTCTTGACCACAGTCGCCCCGAGGTGAGTGCAGGAAGGCTGTCGTCGAAGGCCTGGATGTGGAGCTCATTGTCACAAAGACAGGCCACTGCACGTGTTCACACATGGAGGTTCAGTTGTAGTGTGAGCGGGAAGGATGTAACAGATAGGGGAACAGCAGATTTGAACGGGAAAAAAGTGCAGTTTGATATACAGGTATGGCTATGGTATAAATAATGACAGGAACAAGCTGTGGGAGAGAAAAAAGGAGTTACACACACACACACACACACACAACACACACACACACACACACACACAACACACACACACACACACACACACCACACACACACACACACACACAACACATATATATATATATATATATATATATATATATATATATATATATATATGTGTGTGTGTGTGTGTGTGTGTGTGTGTGTGTGTGTGTGTGTGTGTGTGTGTGTGTGTGTGTGTGTGTGTGTGTGTGTGGTGTACATGATCAAAGGCATACCAAGGTTAGATATAACAAATTCCTTGCAATAATCTCTTGTACGGTTAATCGGAAGCAACTGTTTAATGTTAGAAAGGAGAGAGATAGCACCGTCGTGTGGGAACTGGGACTAGAAGAGCCTTTAAAAAAATAGGTATCAACTCTGGATCACCTAAATTTACCTGGGAATCATCATCACTTTACCACAAGGACAGTGGAGGTTGGAAAAAAGGAGATACTTTCCATTATGATATAATTTCTGTCTGACTTCATTCATCCTTCTTTCTCCATCCTCCATCGACGTGGCTGCATTCTCTCTTGCATGACCATTACTACAAGATTTCCGAATTTCATGCATACATGCCGCCATATCTGAGGTAATTTATAAAAAAAATATTTTTGGGACTTTGCAAGGGGGTAAAAAAGTAATGGTAAAAGTGAAAACATTGTGAATACCTCATGTTCATTCCATAATTATCTACTTATGCGAATTATACGGAGATGGAAAATGACTCAGAATCTTGTGCGAATAGGCCGCTTCGAATCCGCACAACGATAGTTCGAATCATTGGCGACAAAACCCCGTTATTTTTACATTTTCACTCCCTTTATGTATTGAAAGTAAAGGCTTTCTGATTCTCCATCCATCTTTCCTCTTTCCTAATGTATTGCACCTCTTATGATTTCACTCTTTTATAACTGAAAATGCGAAAATGTAAAACGGTCACTGGCCTGGAAGTGTCCAATATCAACTTTCATCCGTCTAATTTGATTATACATGTTTGATATTTGCCCAATTATACATTTTCCTGTCGGTTTACACATCTACGATATAGCTATTGATATGGTAATAACTTTAAAGCTTTGGTATTGAGAATAAATCTATACGTGGCAGCGTCGAT